AAAAGCATGTTTTATGTTAATAATAGAGAATATAAAATGTAAAAAAACAAGCAATATTATTACATGAAATTGGAAAAATACTAGAATTCGATGTTATTATAAATTTAAAAAATTAAAGTACACCTATATATATATATATATATATATAGGTGTACTTTAATTTAATTAATTTTATATTCTCTATTATTAACATAAAACATGCTTTTTTTAGTTATATAAAAAAATAGCATTAACGATCTTCATTAATTATTTCCACTACATGCACATAATTTATTTTACATAATGTTTATCACTTAGGATCCCTACTTTTTTTTTTTTTATAAATCCCTTAGAACCAAAATGGCTGACGGTAGTCACTTCAGTCTATCTTTCGGGCTCGACAAGTTGTTTGCCAGCCGTCTTCATTGAGAAGTGCCTTCAATCAGTCCTGATTTTTCTAAATAACCGAGCCGGACAAGGTATCCTTTTTAGTTACCCGATACCATTATTAACTTTCGCAAACCGTCTCTGAGCAGCCCTCTCCGACATACAGTTTACACCGGACACTGCACAGACCTTGACGAAACGTAAAATAAAGTAGTAATGTGTAGAACCTGCGTAAATGTTCAACTTTACAACCTGAACAAAAGTTACCATTCCGTTTATTGCATAATTAAATTTCAGAACGTATACGCGAAAGAGAGAGGGCGTTTTCACATACGGATTTGTACAAGAGGCACGTGAAAAACGCATAGAAAAGAGACCGCCGCTATTTATGCACAAGCTAGCTCTGTAATTCTAAATAAGATAAATAGAATCCCTAGACAGATTGTGGGTTTCGCTAATCCTGAAACGGAAGTGACGATAAATGAACTCGGTAATTACCATAATTATTTTGTTCGTTTTACTGGCTCATTCCACTTATTAGGTCGATTAGTGAAAGAAACGAAGAACATTAATCTCATACTTCAAAACAGCGCGATTTTATTAAGGGATGAGGTCTTGTTGCATTGTCTGTTATGTAGGAAATACACCTGTACTCTTCCGTTTCCTCAAGACGTTTTACTGTGATATAGTCATTCCGACTTTTAGTGGGCCACTTGTGCTGAGCTTTGGAAAATCGAAAGATTTGGGTTTCATGCTGGAAACTACAATAATGAAGACAGCTGGCCGATAAAACTTCTGTTCGGTTAAAATTCTAATACTCAAAGCACTGTGAACTGCGGGAGGCATTTTGAACTTCGGAAGCAATATTGCAAATGATTCCTTGCGAATAATACATGTCAAAGCGCGCGGGTGTCAACGCTCGGATCTAATGTACGTACAAACAGAGTACTTGTACCCCTCAATCATACCAAGAAAGTGAAGGAATTCGCAGATGATGTCGTATAATTATAATGAAAATCACAGTGTAGAGACACTTGCTTCTTCATGCTTTGACGTTACAACACTAACCCTTTGCACCGAGCTCTGACTTATGATGAAAGATTGATTTTCTACTATCATGGCAGAAGATCAGATAGTGGATGTAACTGAACGGGTATGGCATACTTTTAATGCAGTTGTACAGCTGCGTAAAGTTATCATATGTCTGTTTGATAATCTAACATAGATGTTATCGGTTACAGTTTCACGAGTCTCAGTTCTTCGATTATGGCTAAACTGTACTATCAATAACTAGACGAAATTATAACAAAACTCCGCATCAAGCGGGCAAGATAAGCCAACACAAAACTAATTAAACCTATTTCGCGAACTTACAGTGCAAAAATCACGCTAGCGATAACGTAAGAGTTACAGTTAGGACTTTCAATCGTCCATCAATTCGCCGTATAACGTTCCCAGTTATGTCAGAATTGAAACAACTTCTTCATAAGAAAATTAGTTGAATCCGAACATAACGACGAAAATTGCCTTTCGAGACTGCGGAAGTCTGGGATATAATTTATAAATCCTCACATCTCAGACTTCTGCAGCAGTGAAATAAATAGGTTGTCATATAAATGGCAAAAGCTCATAGATAATAATGACGCATATTCTGACTGAAAATAGAAGAACTAAACCTGTAAAAAGATCCAATTTCACAGTCAATTTGTCTATGTCTCATTTCAAACTGAATATTTTCTTAGGGGGCAAACACACTGTTCGATCTACTGCTCCCCTAGCAGACATGTATTGCTAATTGTTGCTTTAAAAAAGACAATAACTACTATCAATTATACAGTGTAGGCATTATCACATAATATAGGAAACATTTTTTAACAACAGCTTGATTTGCGTCGAAGCACTTATATTTCGAAAACGACGTCCGTGTCGGGTGCTTACGCACAGAATCACCACAAAATCGCCAGCAGGTTCAAACAAAAAAAAAAAAAGTAAAACCCTACAAGCTACTTTCTGCGAAGGGACGCAATTTTACTTTTAGCCCTTTTATTATGAATGCTGAAAAGAAATCACGAACCTCAAACAAGGAAGCGAGCAAAGATATCAACGAAAAGTTTTCATGAAGTGTTCTTAGTGCGTCAGAAGCCACATAATCTCTAACCCCACTGAAGGTAATAAAACAAAACCTAGATAAATTGAGAAAAATACGTTCACAATCTCTCAATTACGCTGAATCTGTAAAAAAGAAGAAGGTATTTCAAAGTATTAGAAGGCACAAACAGTGGCCTCAAGCACGTTCGACTGAGCTACTAGGAACACTAATATAACGTAGAGAACTGTTGTTTCTTTTTTTAAGGTGATTGTCATAATGGTGGATGTTAAAAGGTAATCGTAATCATTTAATAGATTTACATAATTTTACTTATACACTTGAAACAAGGCGCTATGCTTTATAAGTTAGTAAACATGCGGCATGTTGGCTATAGATGTTAATAGCGGTTGACCCTCGCTGCCAAAAAATACCGTTAAAGCACCTGTTCTGCCTTTCCCTTTCTCGTAGCTTACGCGCATATTATAAAGTGCATTAACATTTAGCGTTTACAGGCACCGTGACTAGAAACAAACGAGTCGGAAGGCTTCTCAGTTCGAATTAGAGCAATTCGGGTCATCAGCTATTATCATTCAGAGCTATTGTAAAGCTGGGAAACTGTGAAGCAAATTCCAGTGCTTCATATTGCCGTTAAATAAGTTTAGCAGTGTTTTTTACATAATCTGCCGGCCAGCAATTGAGATAATGAAGCGACTGGGCTTGAAACCTTTTATGGTAGACGTCTTTCTGCACATTATCACCGTCATTTTGGTCACAAGTGCCCCCGTAACCAGTGAATGGTACATAATACGCTGTTCCACAGCTCACGGAGAAGCTGACGTTGCCCTTATCAAAAGCATCGTTCATTTATCAAATGGCACAGTGTCTTTGGCCGTGTCCAACACACAGTCGACAATAGACGGACGACCTCGACCTTTGATGTGCACCACAAGACAAGCTGCACATCGCGCGGCCCCTGAACTTCCCTGCCCCCTAGAAAAATTGGAAATACATCCTCAGGTAGTATAGCTTGTTTATGAGCCAGCATGCAACAACCTTTGGTACTGGCCGTGTGCGAGCGTACAATTTTATCAGAACGCACTGATGCAGTTTGAAAAACAACGCGCATTGGAAAGACTGTACAGGGCCTCATTATAATGTCCATACTATCTACGGTGCTGTGAGTGTGTATCATTATTTTTCGACAAATGACCTGGCTCGTTTTGCATATTGCCAGAAAAATATAGATCTTCTTGTATGAACTATTTATATTCTAATACACCATATACCCACACATATACCTACCGATAGTTTGCTATGCAAACGAAGAGAGATAAACAACAATAATGATGAACGTTATATTTGCAGGCTCGATGGACTTTTTTCGGTAACGACCGGATAGAGCGCCGAGCTGTGCGTGCTATGCCTAAACGTGGAACCCTAAGCATACGCAATTTAAGCGATTCTGACATTGGCCGGTACGTTTGCAAAGTAACTTTACCGGACGATGGCGAAATAGAAGAACTTTGGGACCTTAAGAAACAGGGTAATAGATGGGTTTTTGTCTGGAAAAGCTCTCATGGTATGACGCGGACATTTTGGCTTAAAAAACGCCTTTAATATTGTACGTCATTAGGCGAAACGTTCGAGCAATGGTAATCGATGTCTAGTCACATAGTGTCTGTTTTAGTTCTTCTTTATCTCACAGTAAGTATGGGAAGATTATTTACTTCACATTTTAATTTAGTTTTGCGTTGTTCTTTTTAATCGATGCATTTTATATTTTTATCAGTCCTGTACAGGCATATCCATAATATAGTCCATTATGGCAGCTTTGCGTGCCTTCCGCGTACGCTTGTATGTCAGAGAATGCAAAATGTATGGAAAAAAGTGATTCACATTATGTCTTAGTAGTAAAAATATTGCTCACGTAGCTAATCGAATGAAACTGTGCTCAGCCAATGTGTGTTCCTATGGTATAAATTGCAATAAATTTTAGAATAAATGTGGCGAAACGTGTTATTTATTATAATTGATATTATATAATAGCCATAAATGCCATATAATTGCCAGCTCATAAAATTGTTTTCATGATCAAGTAGAAATCTCAATATGCTGAAAATGGGTATCGGATATTCGCAATTTATAATTCAAGACCAGATAAATATTTATTTACAAAGATTTTTATACGCTTAAAATGGAACAATGAACAAATTCCATTTATTGGAACCGAATTCTGGAGCGGCTAAATAAATAAAATACGAGAAATTATTTATTCATATAATTTTAGGCAAATTATCGGGTTATAACAATAATAAACCGATAGCGGATTGCTAGTCAAACAAAAATAAAATAAAATTAACTAAAGAGTCAATAAGAAGCTTTATATATTATAGCATAGCATCATCCGTGTCAGAAATAGTAACATATCGAAGTACTGTTACTATTTCTGATACAACAGATACAAACGAAATATTGTTGCATTACAGTAAGTGATTTTTTATAAATCTCATTTTAATTAAGTTACACTAGTTACAATAACGATTATTTCTCATTATGATTACATTTTGCTCTTAGCATTGGATTCGTCAATAAAATAAGTTCGTTAGAGTGTTCTTTTGTTAAGCTCTTTTTGCTTTCAAATAATTGTTATTATTTTGAAAAATACTAACGAATAAGAACAGAAAAATATGGCCAAGTATCAGATGATTATTAAAAAGAACAAGCAGCTTATAAAATTGACCAGAATAGTTTGACAGATTCATCCATTTAAAACTTCTCTATCATCTGAATGCCCGCTGCGAAGAAGTATTATTTTTGATAGGTTGTAACCATTCCAAAGAGGTGACTCAAACTTAAATATAGGATATTCATACTCAGTTTTATAGTCAAAAAACAACTTGCCTTCTGTAAGTAGAAATGTATGTCAACCTTTATTCTAGTTAACACAACTTGCAAGCAAAATGCATCGGTGTGAGGTTCGTTGTGGTCAGGCTTAGCCTGAAAAACGGAAGCTTTGATTTAATCTCAAAATCCGAATTTTCCGAAAAACAAGTGAGTTTTATAAAAAACAAGGGTTGCTCGTAATGGAGCAATGGGTAACGTGTTTGCCTGCTATACGTACAGGTACGTAAGAAGCTCTAGGATTAAAACCTGGCATGAACACACTTTGTTTCGTGCTGAAACGGGCCAGCGATGTCAAGCAATGGTTGCCTAAGATAGTAACAGATGTGCAAAGCATTTAGTCTGGTGTCATTACAATGGCAAGTCTTAGGAAAAAAAGTTTTTTTTTTAATAATTTATAGTAATTTTAACAGTTGTAAAAAAATTCATCTAAAATCATCTAACAGCATCTAAACAGAATATTTTAAATCAATTTATGTAACCCAATACATAAGAGTTGGCGATCAGTGCAAAAATCAAAAACACTGCAAAAAATGCTGTTCAAAAAAAGGACAATTTATTTTGTGATTATATAATTATTTATTACCACCATCGTCATTATCTGCACGATTATGTCATCTTTTTTATAATCATCAATCAGTATTTCGTTTTCATAATTATCTTCCGGTTCTACCTATTTTTTGGGTTCTATCAACTTTGTCTCATGTCGTAACCTTCGTAGACTTCTCCAAGCCTTCGTGTCTCACCATTCTACTTCTGTTTCTCAATTCCATTTTTCTGTAGCCGACATGTATATATATATATATATATATCTTGTTATTGTTGTTGCTTGTCCATATAGTGCTCGCATCTTTTCAAACACTTATGTATTTATTTTGTATCTTCTATGCTTTCCCTCTGCTTCGCCCTGTCTTGTTCTAAGATATTTTTCAGTATTATCCCGTTTTCTGTCTTGTATGCATTGATCATTCGAATCAAGCTTTTTAAGTATTAATAAAATAGAAATTGCCGCGGACGATAATGCGCGTCCACCGCACCTGTTTCTGACCTATTCTCATCCTTGAGTAATATTTAGATCTATAGAATGATCTTGATAGTCAATTTTTTGACTGCGTTACTTTTTCAACTGGCACTACGTCGTGCAAAGGCGAACGCGGGGCTCTAGCTCCTATCTCCTACCCACTTCAATATACGAGATACCTATTTTAAGGTGCCAGTTGTCCCAAATATCCTGCATATGTGTGATACCGCCCCATCAAGGATTAGTAAAAACCTAAATAGTCATACCCATTATCGGCGATAGCCCTTCACACAAATGTACGGTGTCCAGCGGTGTGATTTATTTTTTTTTCTCATTCGACGTTAGCCCATCAGTGTATTCAGTCCATGTACATTTCGAAATATTTTATCGTGACGTTACCTTTCACTAGTTTGATAAGGCAACGCAACTGCTCACAGTTAGCATACGGCTTAAACCCGCTTATATAACACTCAAACGTTGGTAGTAGATAAGATATCTGATATTTGGGACACACAGGGAGTGACACTTGTCAGAAATTTCCGTCGAAGCATGACTTCTAATCGATGATGTTCAATTTCTCTCTTTGACAACAATATAAAAGAGAACGAAGCGAGAATCGTTGCCAATTAGGAAAATGAAACTTGTATGCACTTTATTTCTATATTAAACATTTTTTTCATAAAAAAAATAATTTCATAAACAAATACTATTAAATTTATGTTATCATACATTTGTGAAAATGGAAAATAATAAATAAAATATATAACTCAAAGTGGCCACTTCTTGCTTGACGCTTCATATTTCTCATATCTTTGCAGCTTCACGTGAGACGGCGTATGGAGGATTAAGTATGGCTCGCTTTGGTCCACTGTCTATGGTTATATTAGCGCCACTTATGGGGAACGATATTTAAGATCATCAAATGAGGTGACAAAATAAACGACAAAAAACCGAAACAAGGATATC